TAATATGATTTCTCGTTAATATCACTATCAACATGATTTAAAACCAATTCAAATAGGTTGATATTAACAAGGGTAACTTGTATATAATATCAGATTTCTTAAAAAGTACTCTAAAGTATATAATTAAGTTATCTAATATAATTTATGTTATGATATTATTTATATTATATAGAATATTATATCAAATTAGAGGTCATAGTCTGGGATCGTCCAAAGTGGAGCATAATCACGTGATGCATGACCAATCAAATTATAGAAGTTTGATGATCCCGGTGAAACAAACCAAGAAAAAAAAGTGAAAAACTTGAAAAATACAAAAAATGGCAGCCTAAACCTACCATTAGGTAGGTTAAGTAAAAATATCAGGAAGGAAATTTTGTATATATATAACTACTTAAAACCTAAACTACCCTAAAGATGACCCTAACCCTACAGTTAATTCAATAAAATACAGTACTGTATATATATTATCCAAATTAGGGGGATGGCTAAAGCCATATACTCACGTGATTTTAACGTTTTAATCGTTTAAATTAAAATTAAAGTTAGAATTAGAGTTAGTTGGGTGTTGATATAAAAAGAGGAGTATATGTAAAATTGCCTTCCCAACATTTTTAATTAGTGCCCCAAGATAGGTTAAGACTGTCGTTTTTCGTCTTTTTGCATTTTCTTTATTTTTTGACTTCTTCGGACTGATCCGTGTAAACAAAATTTCGCAATTCCGGTTGGTTGATTTACACAAAAAAGTTATGTGGGTACATGGCTTTAGACAACCCCAAATTAGGCAATCATATTTGAAATTGATCTACAAACAGATTCTCGAATTAGATGACTTTGATCATATTTTAATTATTATATAGGTATCAATAAAATTTACAAATAAGATTTAGATTACAAATTGATATATAGATCATTGTTGAATAATACTGTATATACGGGTAGCATTGTTTAAAATATAGAATTGTTAAAGGCGAATGATTAAGCAAAATAAAATTATTATTTAAAATAAATGAATTTAAAATAAATGAAGCTTTGCTTATAGCTTCGTTAATAATACGTATTTGATATGCTATAATCTATGGGCATGCCACTTATATGATATGTCTCGCTCTAAACTGATATTTAATATTTCAAAATATTCTGAGTAGAAAATCAAACAACATAAGATTACAAGAGAAAAATTGGAAAGGTAGTTCAATTATATTATGGCATGCCCATAGTAATAGCATAGCATAAATTTTGATGCACTAATTAAAAATATCGGGAATGAGGGTTAATTTGTTTCTATAACCTCTAACGTTAAGATCCTAACTCTAAAGCAGGGTAGAATATGTATCATGACGTTTCTTCATTAATATTAGCCTTCTCGACATGTTTTATTAATATACCAAGGTGGGTTTAGACTACCGTTTTCGATATTTTTCGCATTTTCTCTTTTTTTTTGCTTGCTTTGTGATCCAGTTTATCAAATTTGATTGGTTGATTATTAAGTAAAATAGTGCGATCTTCAATGTCTATTTTTGAAGAACATCTAAAGCAGAGCAGATTCTTATAATATATATTTTATTGAATTAACTTTATTAAAATTCTATGTGATTATGCTCGACCCCATTTTTGGTATATTCCCAGACTGCATTTCTGCTTTAAACAAAAAGTACAATAAAATAAAAAAAGTTCATTACATCTTTAAAATTGAAATTTCCGGTCTGATACTGAGTTTATTTTTGAGATTTGCATTCAGAGGCTATTTCATATCTCTGACACGTGCAAAGCGAAAAAGAAAAAAAAAAAACCCCCAACAAAAAAAATGACGTATCTGAGTTTACTTTGAGGCTGTGTATTTAAGGGATCGCATTTATCATTATGAATACTGAAAATATATATATAAGTACTGTCATAGAGACCAATAAAAACATATAAATATGAGGCTTAATGAACTTTTTCATACTTAGTTTTGCGTGCTTAGTTTTGTCTTCGTTATTTATTTAGTTCTTCGCTCACTTAGTTACTCATTCAGTCCTTTGCTCGTTTAGTTACTTATTCGGTCCTTCGCTCGTTTAGTTACTTATTTGGTCCTTTGCTCACTTAGTCACTTATTCGGTTCTTCACACACTTAGTCTTGCCTTGCTTAATTACTTATTTGGTTCTTCACTCGCTTAGTTACTCATTCGGTTCTTCGCTTGCTTATTTACTCATTCGGTCCCTCGCTCTCTTAGTCATTTATTTGGTCCTTCACATGCCCTCGCTTAGTTACTTACCGGTATTTGGTTCTTCGCTTGCTTGGTTACTCATTCGGTTCTTCGCTCGTTTATTTACTCATTTGGTCCCTAGCTCGCTTAGTCACTTATTCGGTCCTTCACATGCCCTCGCTTAGTTACTTACCAGTATTTGGTTCTTCGCTCGCTTAGTTATTTATTTGATCCTTCCTTTCTTCGGTCCTTTAAATATGTTAGAGAAGTTGCTTTCTCGCGAACAAGTAAGTTTTTACTTTCTGAGTATGGTTGTTTAACATACGCGAGGATGTAAGTCACGCTGCGGGAATAAGACCAGTGACTGCCAATCCTGTGTAATCACCTGTGTAGATCCTCGCATTTCCGAAACTACTACCAATGGGACTAGGATAGATGTGATAATACATGAAATACTCACCTTTTCTCATGTATACATGATAGATTTACCGTATAAATAGTGAAGCATACTGAAATACTATCAAGGTTTTGTTTGGACAAAATCGAATCCATGTTTCCCCCTTGGCTATTGGAAATAATGAATACTATTATTTATGTGGTGAATATAAGTTGACAAAATTTATCATCGCGTATAGACATCGATCCAAGAATAAGTGCAGTGAAAAGGAAGTTCGAGACTTTGCAGCTATCTTAGCAAGAAGATCAACACCTTATGTTGGATTTCTAGTAAAACTGTTAGGGTACACGAATAATGTGATAACTGAAGCCTTAAGACTAGGCATAATTATAAGTACTACAGAATCAATTATAAATGATTTTTTTGATTATTTTATCGAAAATACAAATGATAGCAATGATTATGATGTAAATTATGTAAATGATCATGATATCGATGTTGTAATCGAGGAACCACACACCAAAAAGGTAGAACAAGAAGATGATGGTGATATAGAACAAGAATTATATGAAATAGATGATGAAGTCGAGCTGTATAAAAACAATGAAATTGAACATAAAAATGTTGTTATGGTTATGGAGGGTATACTTTTTAAAGATAACTCTATGGTTAAAAGTATCGACAGAATAATTATGAAATCCAAATAATGTATTATTACAATGTAGTATTTGTTTAATTCTTTCATGTTAAATAAATCGCAGTTTTAAAATCTAAATAATATACCTGAACACTAACATAAACGTGTCAAAGTCAAAAAAATCATGTGAGCGTAAAATCAAACCTATGTTAGTATGACACAATTATTTCAATTATTAAAGTATATGTTTTTTTTTTTTTATCAATGGCGATGGCAATTTTTGGTAGCATTCCCACAAAAATTATAATGTACTACTAGTGAAATTTCACAAGAAACATTTTTGATTAGGCCTCAGAAGGTAATTTCTGAATTAAAATTTAGTTACTCTCTCTTTTTTGTAAAAGTGGGTTCGTTTTTTTTATATTACACCTGATCCTGAAATTGGTCAATTGTGTGAGATTTAACATTCTTATTTAAAATTAATACCGAATTCGAAATTAGTTTAATAAATAAATAATTTTTGGAACAAAAATATCTGATAATTATTGAATGCTAAAATATGCAACCTAACTCCGATTGGACATAGTCTTGGACAAAGCCTAATTTAGTCTTAGAATTTTTCATATAGTGACTCTGAAAGTTTGCACAGCTGGACCTAAAAGTCTTAAGATCAAAACCAGTCCTGAATTGACTTGGCCGTCTACAATGTACGTATATTTTTGTCAAGACTTACTTTATGACCATGATTAATAACAACCTTTATGATTATTAAACAGTCCACATGATATGATATTATGCTTTATGCGATCTCATATACAGTTATACGAATATTTATTAGATACGTGCGTACAATATAATATATCTATTTAATTATCAGCTTATATAAACCAGTAAACCAGCATTAACGCTAATTGTCAAAGGCAGATAGTAAAAATACACGATCATCACGGTTCATAACATGAATTGTTGGGTAAATAGATGTATTCAGATTGGTAGATGGAGACCCGGTGTAAGGAGGTTTGACTGCATATAGTTTTGATATGCTAGTTATATATCGACATTAAAATTTTAATTGTCTGTTCGTTTTTGTAATTTGATTGAACAATTTCAAGGTCTACTTCTAAGCTACTTTCGAATATTGATATCTAATTATATATACCGACAAATAGGATCTTGCTAGGAAAATGACCTTTCGAGGCTATGTTGATTTTATGAATAGAAATTAAATATGTCAGCCATCTAGTCATCCAACTCGAATGATTTTTTTTTATTTTGTAGAATTTATTTAGCTCTAAAAAAGTTTATTCAATT